GAAATGCTGAACGTTATTAATGGTCAACTTTCGTGCACTCCGTGAGGTCTGAGGATGTAAGGTTGCAAGCCACAGGTCTCTGTTTAAAGCCCCTAAAAACTAGATTGATTTGAAATGGTACAATTTCTGTAGTAGTAAACTATTTTTTCCATAGCACTGTTTTGTTTACTTTAACTTTAATTAACCAAACAGTTTTATGTGGTAACAAGGGAATATAGAATATAGTAAGTATATTCTACATATTACTGTTACTCAGTGTTCATATACACACCTGTTGTCCAGGTGCTCAGCCCTCCATCTCCCTCTGGGAAAGCAACAGATATTACAGGTTTCTTTCAGAGAGATTCCATGTGTGTATGTATATACACATATACACATGTACACACACATACACACGGAACATGATTTCCCTCCCCCCTTTTTTTATACAAATGGTAGCATACCACATACACCGTTCAGCACCTTGCTGATTATATTGACAATGAAATCATCTTGGAGAGCTTTCTATATCTACATACAAAGAGCTTTCTTACTCTTTACTTTTCTTTACTGGCTGTCTACTATTTCGCTGTATGGATATAACCTAGTTTATTTACATTGTTGATGAATATTTAGATTGTTTACATATTTTCCTATTGCAAACTGTGCTACAGTACGTAAGCTTGTATATATACCATGTCACATCTTAATGGCTATACCTGTAAGCTAAATTCTTAGAAGTGGAGTTTTGGGTCAGAGAGTATGTGCACTTGTAATGTTGACAGATTTGCCAAATGGCCCTGCAGTGTTCACTCGCCAGCAGTGCATGAGAGTGCCTCTGCCCCGACATCCTTGGATGCAGAGTGTTTGATAGGTGATAGGTGAAAATTGGTACCTTGTGGTTCAAATTGTTCATTTCTTTTAAAAAGTGAGGGCAAGCTGCCTCTTCCAAGAGCTATTTCATTTCATTTTATGTATCAACAGTTTATTTATAGCATTTGCCCATTTTCCTATTGAGCTGTTATTTTTTTCTCATTGATTAGTAGTAGCTCTCGATATATTTGGGGAATTAGTTCTTGTCAGTATTTTTTTTTTCTATTTTTAGGTTGTCTTTTGATGTATTTTTCTGTGCATAGTTTTTTCATATTTTCATGTAATCAGATTTATCAGTCTTTTATGTCTTCTGAGTTTTATGGCATAATTAAAATACCTTCCCCACCATAAGACTTAAAAAAGTAAAACATCCCATATTTTATTTGTCTATACTTTGATGACTTTAATATATATGTTTAGGTTTTTGGTCCATCTTGGGTTTTTGTATGTGTGTGTAAATTGTGATGTGCATAGAATTTTTTTTCAGATAGTATCTTGTTAATTCTTCAAATAAAATATATTAACTCAGTTTTTTTCCCCCCCACTTTTAGGGAAGTCTTGAGATTTTTTCTGGATTAGGACTAATACTGGGTCCTCCTGTAGGTGGCTTTTTGTATCAATCCTTTGGCTATGAGGTGCCTTTTATTTTTCTGGGATGCGTAGTTCTGATGATGGTACCACTCAACATGTATATTTTACCCAATTATGGTAAGCCCACACTTATTACTCATTTTAAGAATCTTGAATATATTTTTATGCCTTTGTAAGTGAACAGTTTTCCAGATATTCACTTTTATTTTATATAATCAATAATAGCTTTTTAGAACACCCTGAAAGAACTGATTCTCTTTTCAGATATACTGTAAGCAATTAGGTTATAGGAATTTCTTTGTATCACAAATTGTTTTCCAACCTTTAGAACTAGCAAATATTTAATTTCTGATCATAAACCATTACCATGTGCACACCAGAGGTCTTCTTGGAGTGAACTAAATGTCAGAACAAGGAGTTATCATGGGCCACATGTGGCCCCAGTCTTCCTAGGAGGCTTTCTTCCCAGCAGCCTTTGCAGCTGTGCATGCAGCAGCGCCCAGCTGCAAGGACATAGGTCCACATTAGGTGGCAATGGGAATCACCTTGGCTTCAAAGCGTCATGCTCCACAGGAGTCGACCTACTCTCTAATAAAAACATGGGAACCACTGCGAGGGTCTCTATGGAGAGACAGGCCAGGTACAAGAGTCAGCACAATCAGGGAGGCACAAAACATCGTGTCCTCATCAGGTGTTTATGGCTTATTCGTAGTTCCTTTCGTCCAGGTCAAATGTACCAATCAGAGTTATTCTTATTGCGGACAACATTGCCTAGTAACGTAGTGGGCATTGTACGTATGCAGCGCAGAGCTAGAGTTAACTGAGAGCCGGAGAACGGCATCAGAGAGGCAGTGCCACGTGGAGCCACACGGTGGCGCTTGTCCTCTTTCAGAGTGTGACAACGCTGTTGCTTCTGTCATTGAACACCTGGCTGTGCTCAGGTTGGTTTGTTAGGTACTTGGCTGATAATTAAGAAACAGACACCAGCCCAGATTCTCATGTAGCAGGAGAAAAACTTTTGTTAACTCTGTACGACAGGCGATAAGGAAAAAAGACTTTGCTAAGACATACTACTTAGTTAATGGTAGAACTGGGTATTTAGAACTTCTGTGATTAGGTGCTGGACTGGCCCCAGCTTCTGTTACCCCTTAAGGCCTGGCCTGCACTCCTCTTCCCATCCCCTCCTCTCCCCGCTTGGTATCTTTTGCAGTCCTTTCTCATCGCCACCAGTCTGCTTAGTTGGTACTTATTTCTCTTCTTTCCTGTTACTTCTCAATTAAAATTTCCCTGTGTCTTTATTGAACTTAACAAAATCCCAGGTAGCTATATTTTTGTGAATAAAAGGTTTTGACAAACTCACTGTTTATCCACTGACGGCTTTTTTATTTAGATTGAATGGAAAAAAACTGGTATTTTAAAAACTCTCCAGGACTGATAATATTAAAGCTGTAAAAATACATTTAAGTGTTCCCATTTAGAAGTACTTTTAAAAATTGTTATTTTAGGAGAGTTTATAGATAGAAGCTAGAAAATTAAACAAATTCGATTTTTCTGACATTGGCAGAATTTTATATTCTCTAAGTTCTGCCTCTCTCTTACCTCCTTCTAGACCCACGGACAATGTGGCTTTAGCTGTGGGTGGCTGAGTCCCTCTTCCTCCTTCTTTACATCTGCTCAC